GTTTATTGCCGTGATCAGTGTTTATGAGTTATATCACCGTTACTACCTTAACGGTGTTGTATTAATAAATTTGATTACTGTAACTGTATTTTGTCTGCATTGTCGTTTATTCATTGAAGCCACCCAATTTGCCAAGAACTCTCAAAATCCTTCAGATATTTAATTGTTATTGGATACTATTGATTTTAGTACATTTGTAATACTTCGAGTAATACATTATTACTATATTAATAAGTTAAATTAATAATTAAAGCTAACTTTAATGAGACTGGTTGATAACACCGAGTGCTTCTAAGCAGCACTCGACCCATTGCACCTACAAGGCAATGGGTGACATACTAAAACCTTTTCTTTTAATTATAACTGCAGGTTCTATATTGTCCTTTTGATTTTTAGACATGCAGGTGACGAAAACCACAAGTGTCAAACTCAGGCCTGCAGGCCAAATTTGGCCCATGGAGTAATTATATTTGGCCTGCGAGAACATATCAAATGTGTATAAGAGCTGGCCTGCCATTATATAGACAGCATATACTTGAGGGATGTAGTATTAGTGATGTATGCACAATAAAATACCACTGATGTGTGACTTATTTTAAATTTAATTTCTTATGTGTTTATAAGATTCAAAGTTCACGCAAACTTAAAGTTTGTTTCCATATGAAAAAATTCAACATTAAATATCTGGGGAGAAGGGAAAACATGCACAGTTCCAGGCGAATTTACAATTTTTCCGTTTGGTCCACGTTTTCGTCCCAGTGTTTTATTTTGGCCCACTGTGGATTTGAGTTTGACCCCCATGCTTTACATTTTTGTTACTATGTGTCATAGGAACATTGCCACACTTTTCTATTTTGTGCTAATCATATTTGACTCCAACCTACCTGATTGATGACGAATATGGTATAGTACAACTGCTGTCTCTGCAGGATAGGATGAAGGTAGTACAGCCAGTACTTTAGATGTTCGTCACGATTACGAAACGGTATGATGACAGCCACCTTCTGCTCTGGCACGCAGTCAGGGGGTTGGTAATGTCCACCGGGACCAACTTTAGGGTTGGCCTTCTTGGTGTCCTCAAAGGTGACAGGTAAGTTGAACTCCACCCGCAGAGGGCCCACTGAGGGAGAAAGACGATAGAGACAAATGGAGGACAACAGAATTCAGAAAGACAGGTTTAGGAGAGACTACAGAGACACCAGAGAAAGACATTACATTGGTTGGAAGAGCTTTATGTTTGTTGGCAAGTTTGCAAAGAACTATCTTAAAAAAAAGAAAAAAAAGAAAATGATCCATTTATTAGTTTGTATTTTATGGAATGTCATTGGTCAATATACTTTTTTTAACTAGAGAAAGAATTGTTAATTTCCCTAACCAGATCAGAGAAGTACTGTTTACTTACTTATTTTTAACTACTCATTCTACAGTAGATATAGATGTCTGGGCTTCAATGACAGTTAAATCACCTACTCATCTGTGGTCTTTGGACAGGCTGCATGTACTTGTAAAATTTCACATAAACACTGTGCCCTCTTGCACACATTCTGTCACACTTAAATGATACAAGTGTTAGCCAAACAAAGCCTGCTTTCTTTTAGCTACTAACAGAAAGACACAAAGCATTTTCAGACAGAACTGTGTTCTTTCATCTAATCAAACCATCATCATTATTACTTACTGCACAATGTTTTGTGCATGTCCTTTTTTCTATTTTGCAAATACTTTTTTAGTATTTGCATCTTCATTTATCAACATCCAAATAGGAAAGCTAACCATTTGCCTCAAATGCAAAATACATGAGATGTCACAATCATTGAAAGTTAGGTTCAGCTACTGTTCTTTCTGAATGTACAAATTTTTCTGTTTGTGAGGGAGAGAACAGTTCAAGCTGTACTTCACCGTGAGAAGCAGATGATATCAATGTATATGTGCCAAATAGCATTATGTATCTTCAAAAATCTAATGTTACTTTTCTCTTTGCTAGTCTATGATATTTCTACTACCTAAAAGCAAGGCAGTACAGTACAGCACATTTCCTTGACAGTTGGTTGTAAATGTTGACATTCCCCATACATTTATTTAACAAGTAGTTACAGTCACAGTGTGGGGAGCCTACTGGAAATTATTTCGATTAACAAAATTGAAATTTGTCAATTTTGCTGCAGCAGCATCTACCTTCGACATACATGTGGAACAGTGTGTGTCTATGGTGGAGCACACACAAAAACATACAGATACAAACACAGCTGCTTTGTAAACTATCAGCCAATGTCTTGAATTAATGACTCTGCAAATCGAAGACTCACACACCTGACCTCACATGCACGCAAGTTTGGCCCCATGTTCCTCACCTTTGCCCACTACCTCCAACTGCTCCATGCCTTATGCACTCACACTAGCCCTGAAATCCTTGCATTAGGGGGCAATCTCGCTTGGCTGTGACACAACAGCCATAGTGTGAGTGCATCCTAAGTATGAGTCCCATGATCTCAGCTACCAGCCTTTCCTGGACAAGGCAGTTCACAGAGTCAACAATTTGATTTCGACATTTTCCGCCCACTGGCTAATATTTAACTTGGGTTAAACACCTTCTTTACAAAGGAATTCAGCCCTAACCCTCATTATTCTCTCTTCAACATTATGTCATGAAATGGTTCCACTTGTTTCTTCTGGAGAAAAATACTGAGATTGGGAAGTTAATTGCTTTTTACCAAAATGTACATGCATATTGTCTTTAACAGAACGTAAATAAACTGTGGCATCTTTTCAGGAAAAATTGAACTTTTGCATTTTCTTTCTTGTTTTAAAGGGATGTTTTATATGCACTGTAGAGGAAATTTGCAAATCAATCTTTATAATATGGCTTAAATATTTTAGAAATGTTATTACAAATTTTATAGAAATTGAATATGGCAGAAGAGAACCAAAGACCATTTAACATTCCTTTTGTTTGTTTTATTTTTTATTTTTTTGCTTTTTGTGCATTGTTCGTGCCCTTTCCACTAAAGTCAACACAAATGTTATAATGCAGATGAGCTGGTTGCAACCCCCATATCTGAAACATCATTCTGGCTCAGCTGCTTTTCTAGAACCACTGCTGAACTGCTTTGTACACCATGCATTTTCAATGTGTCACTGTAAAAATCAGTTAACTGAAATTTGTTTACACAGCTTACAATCATCAGTTACAATCATCACTACAAATAAAAAAATAATTACTGGACAAACATTCCAGTCATTCCCCTTAAGAGGTGTGGTGCATGTCTCTGTTTTACACAGGGAACAGATAATACTGTTTTGTCCTTGCTCTGAGTGGCCAACTCAGAACAGAGATAAAAAGCGCAACACAGACGTGTGTTTACCACAATGTCCAAACCAGTGTTTAAGCTGCTTTGAATACTGAACTACAAAATGTGTCAACAACAATCCAAGAGAATTTATACAAGGCTAAATTAAATATTGTTAATGTGAATAATTTCCAGTAGGCTCCTCATACTGTGACAGTAACTACTTGTTAAATAAATGTATGGGGAATGTCAACATTTACAAAAGCCTTGCTTTTCAGTAGTAGAATTATCATAAACTAGCAAAGAGAAAAATTAACCAGTTAGCACAAAACCATGGATTTAATTATGATTCATGGTTTGCAAACCAGGAAAAACAACAGAGACAAGAAAAACCTGCTCGAAAGGAGGAAAAAATGACAGTGAATTTCACAACAGCAGTAAACAAGGTGAAGACCAGGTGGTGTTCACAGCATCTTCTGTTTTAAAGCCATTAACAGACCCTGATATCCACAGCAAAACCTTTAGGTATCAGGCGCACCATTTTGACTAGGCATACTTTAACTGTGTCTGGTAAAACTGCTGAAGCTACACCTCTGTGGGCCGAGTACCTGTCCAGGAGTCGTTATACGAATCAATGCAGGCTTTCGCCCCGATCAAATTTCAGGTTGTTAGTTTCACCCGAGGCAAGGTGTCAATATAGGTTGACGTCAGTTGTCTGTGGTAGAAAGAAAATTAAAAAGGCTCACTGTTGGTCGGACTCCACCTGATGTTTCCTTCATAGGTGTTTTATTACCCTACTATTTGTTACAGTTATCCTCAACTCTACTGAAATCAATACGCAACATTAAGGTAAAGGGTATAAAATAACATTGCACTGCATGGGAGACAGAAATCAAGCCTGTGGAGCCAGTGTGCGTTTATTTTGAAGCATTTAGAAGGACCAACACGATTATGTAACAGGCTTAAACAAATCGACTTTTTGAACTTTAATGACAATAAACAATTTCACATAATTGCTTTGTCTAATATGACGGCATGTATAAATCATACTCATTAAATGATGACAAATTATTTAGTTATTGTTATTGTTAGTTAGTTGTTGTTTTTTTTTTTTGTTGTTTTTTGTCTAATAAATTTACTGATCATTCAATGCTACCCAATGACTGGATTCAGACTTACCCAGCAGGGGTGAGGTTTCAGGACATTTTTCTAGCTTCTTAACATCGGGCTGAGACTTCTGTTGGACTGCGACGTTAAGTTGCTGACTCCGGGTCGTGGTCACTACTGTGATCCTGGAGTCTTGGACCTGGTTTCGCTGGCTCACATTACTACTGCTGCTGCCGCCGGACTGTTGGTTCTGAGCAAAGGCAAAGCGGAGGTCCAAGGAGCGGACATAGAACACGAGGGTGACAGAAATGTGGACCAAGCAGAGTAGTACCACCACCTTACAGGTGCTGTGGAGGAAGTAGAAGTCTGTGCGTCTGGTAAGCGTCATGGGAGCGGAAAATGAAACCGAGCACAGGAGCCGCCGCTCGGCCCCAGAGGCGCCGAGATAAGGAGGAGGAACTAGGGGACTTGGGGAGACAAGACAGAAAGGAATGTTAGCTACTAATTCTAATCCTCATCTTTCCTGGCATCACATCCAACACGCCGGACTTTGAATATTTACAAAAATGAGATAAAAAACTTATATTTCCAAATTGTGTCGCAACCAAAAGTTATAACGCTTATCCGTTAGCTGATGCTAGCGCTAAGCGGGTGTCGAGTCCAGACACCCGTCAAAAAACCTCGGTTGAAAAAGACATGGACGACACTGAAGTTTCTGCGAAAAAAAAATTCTTAAAACAATCACTCGAATGTAGACCCTCAATACAAATACGACACTTTTCCACGCAGACAAGAACGAGTAAGTACGGGACAAGTCGTCAATTTATTCCACAGTTCGACGTCACACTTCCGGTTACAGTTTCAGATAAAAAACCAGCCAAGCTGGAACTTTTTTTTTCATTTCCCCTTTTGTTTGAGTCAGAGTTGTCGGCCTTTCAGATGATAAGAGGAACCAATGCAAACAGCTGTAACGAGAACACAGCGCGGCTCAATCACACATGGATAACGACTGATACCGTTAGAGTGAGAGACAAGTAAATGATCCTTTTTATGAGGGTGTGTCTTGTCTGTGACGGGGCAGATGTACAATAGCAACGCGCAATCTCATGTAATGCGGTGTGTTTAATTAATTGTATCTAGCAGAAAGAAAGTAAGATTTTCAGTGTTATACTACAAATTACAACACAATGGTAAAATTTTTGTACAGAGGCAGGTTTGAGTCTTATTGCGTTTTCCCTAAACTACATTTTTAAAACATTCGGGAAATATTATTGCCGTTTTGTAAAATGAAATTACATGAAAGTAAAAAGGATTTACACATGGGCTCTCCTTCATAATACAACAGACATTTTAATTTGGGATAGACCTGGATCACATGTTAGAAACTACTTTGTTATGTCTAGGTACTGTCTGTGCCCACTGTTCAGAATAAGCCCTGGCATTACACTCCTGAAAACCCCATGGAGTTTCTTGAAAAAGATGATGGATTGGCATGAGCATATGTTTCAGTATGAGCCTTTCTCTAACATTATGTCTCAACCATATTGAGCTGCAAAAAGGGCTGCTATAAAAAAAGAATAGAAGAACAAACCAGAAGTCAGGGACCGGGGACTGGGCGACACTGCTGTTCAACCGGCTATAAAGGGTCCTATCTGGGCCACACAGAGGCAGTCCCAGTTGTGAAATCTTTCTGCTAAGACCTACTTTTCAATATGTACTTGTGAATTTTACTAAGAAAATGTTTAGTTTATTTTAGTTTCATCAAGAATGTGTCGTGGCTCTCTTCATTTGCTTAATGCTTGTAAACAAGCAGCCTGGTAGAGAGACACACAAGTCTCCTTCTCTCTGTCTCTTTCTCAATTCGTGAGAAAGTACAAATTAAAACCTTTTTTCTTCAGCTTATAATAGCAAAGTTTTCATTGCCTAAAAATGACATGATCCAACTACAATATTGCTTCGTTTTCAGTATAAGTTTGGAAATGTGACAGTGCTCCATCTAGATGACCAACTTTGGTGTCACTTAGGAGATAGTGGCTGTCATATGACACCCACTGAAGTATTGTGTGCACAAAACAGATGTGACATGACTGTTGTTGGTGGCTGTCCTTTGTGTAGAAAAAGTACAAACACACGTGTGGCAATCCACATCAAGTGAAGTGCAGACCCTGTGGCAGACCATCTCTAAATGGTCCCACTGGTTTTACTGCCTTCAAATGCAAATAGACATCTGGGTTATAGAAGTAGGAAGAACAGAAATCCATCTAGAATGGCTCCGCAATTACATTATTTCATCAATAGAGAAAGTGTGAGAAACTGCTACCCTATAACATCACAATCACAAGGATGGCTAAAATCCTGTGCATCAAACATAGAAGTATTATCCACAGGTCAGAGCAGACCCTGTGACTTTGCTATCAAAAAGACCAGCTGCTGGAAGTAAGTGTAAACCACAAGAATATATCACTCCAACTTCTTTTTTTAACCCCAGAAATGTCACATAAAAATGAATACAATCTGAACAAGACATTTCTCTCTCCTGCCAGAGGAACAGCTGCACAGTCATGCTTCCTCCAAACACTATGCATCCAAAGTGTACACAGATGTAAGGAGAGAGAATTGTTCTCAGCTGGATAGAAGAAATCCAGCCAAAGAAAGTTTAAGACTTGCTCAGTTTCCAGTAGAGAACTAACAAGTATGCAAAACAAGCAAGCAGACGCCTACTTAAAATAATATATCACTGTTTTTCTAAGAAGCAAAATAAGCAAGCAACAATGTGTGGTAAGAAAAAGAAAATGTATGTAAACACAAAATAGAACATTGCAGCTTTGATTAAACAACACCTTGTGACTTTGAAAAGCAACCAGACCGCAAAGGAAGACTGCATTAAAGTGAGGAAGACAGCGTTTAAGCTCCAACGACAAATCATTAGTGTATTTTAATACCATACGCCTGTGCTGTCAGAACAACATAAAAGCCTGAACAATAGGAAGTAAAAAGTAGAGAACGGTTCCCAGGATATTTATGCTGTTTTGCTGATGAGCTGATGAAAACCAGGTGTGCTGCTGTAGGAACCACAGTGGAATGAGTAAAAGGACACCGGGAAGCCACGCCACTTGGACACCCACAACGAGAGAATAAGAGTAGGAGGGGCAAACACAGAGGAACGAAACTGCCCCCTGTTCCAGCCCAGGTATTAAATCCTCACGTGTTTGGCTCAAGTTATTTATATTTGAACATCGAACATTTAATGCAAAATATCATGATACGTATACATGTTTCCATTCCACATAACAAATATAACCATTTCCCATAGCTAGGTATACATATTCTTTCATTCTATAATCAGATTTGCACCAAAATAATTCCATTAAGTGACTTGTAGAAAACCACTCTGGTGCTATTGACAGTCCTGATTCAGCCAAGAGATCCTCCAACTGCCTCCAAATGCAATGTGCATTTAACCATATCACGTGGCTTTTGTGTTTTAGCTTTAACGCTTTAATATGCAAAAGCCTTTATAAATGTCTAGAACCTTAAGGTGGTAACACATGTCACGCACAATTACACTAACAGTGAAATGTTTACTAGGACAAAGTTGACTCTGTGGGTGGAGCAAAACAAAACCGAATAGGACATGGTGCTTATTTGAGATTTGTGTGGATGGTTGGGATACTTTTTTAAATCGTAACAAATCGTCCACATGTACTTTACGTTATACAGAGCACCATCTAGTGGATAAAGGTGGTAAAGCATCATGCAAAAAACGTTTATAGATTAAAATATATACAATAATACAAAAAAAATCATAAAATTAAGTAAAACCATCATGAATAGAAATCGTATTTACAGAGACCACGCAACAATTGGCCTTTCCAAAGGATGACATAATTTAAAGGATCGATACAATTGGTACAATAGTATCAATGAATGTTATCTCATTTATAATTTCTGCAAAAATAAATCTTACATTACGCAAATTTAACTGTAGGGAATCCTATTCCAACATATTCTTGTAGTTGTTTTTTTATAAACTTAATCTTCGGGCCAGGACAACGTGTTGACGTCACGGCCTTACGTGGCGCTGCTGTGCTGCTGTGTAGGAATGTGCGGAAACTTGCTCGACTCTACTTTTGTCTACGATCGTCGTCGAGGAGAAGTAGAAGAAAAGCGAGCAAAAGCTGACGAAAAGTTGGTGGAACTTGGTAACGGAGAGTCGGTAAGTTGAAGCGGGGAGTGGTTTGGTCAGTATCAGGCAGAGGAGAACTCTAGGGCGGCGGCTGAAGAAGTTTGAGTGAAGTAAAAGTAAAATGGAGGCGCTGTCCGGGGCTGATCAGGACCATGGCTAACACTCGGTGGCCGTGTCCGCATTATCTTTAACTTTTGCGGCCTCACGTTGCATCACACTCGCGTTCAGAGTTCGAAAGAAGCTTCATGCATAAATCAAACATTTTTGAATCCGATATAAAGACATTACTAGTTTACGCATGTCAACGCATGTGCACCAGAAATAGGCTACCGATCAAACTGTATTAAAAGTAAAACAAGAGTATACAAAAAATATTGAAAAGCCGTTAAAGTTAATGTGCGCACACTGAAAGAGGCACGAAGAACTTTTAATCACCTGTCCGATTTTTACTTTGTGAGCTCTAGCTGCTATCGCTTTTCACTTCCTTAAACCAAACTACAGTAATCTTTGTAACGTATTTACGTTTTCACTTGTGATAATGTCTTTTAGAAGACTGTGTGTTTGGTTAACTATAATAAATGCTACAGTCAGAATCAGTCTTCGTAGTTTCTGTTGTTTTACAAACTTTGTTTGTGTCGCTGTCGACTGAGATGTGGTGCTGTTTCAAAATGGCGGACAGACTCTCTTTGAGTTTTTTTTTTTATTGACCTTATCACTTGTAACAATGACACGTTTTATCACTGGTACTAAATCACCAAGTATAAATTAAAGATTGTCAAACGTTGTAACTCAAAATTATATATATATTTTTTTTTCATACACACACCTCCTTTTTTAGTAGTTGGCATCCTTTAAACATCATCATTACAATCTGATAGTTTATTTCTTAGATTTTGACATTAATACCCAGAAATCTTCAGGATGCAAATTTTAACTTTTGGTACTTTATGTGACATAAATCCAATCATATTTACAACTTGAGTGATTAATTTCTCACAGAAAGTCTTTTATTGTGTATATTGTGTCTCAGATCAAGATTAAGTAGGCGATTCAACTTTAAGGCCACTATAAAAGGCATTTATAATTTTTCAGAATTTAGTTTTTGTTTCCTTTTGTTTGACTTCAGACTGACTGACCCTTCACTTGTTTGTAGCTTTTTGCCTGGTTGTGAAGGTGACAAACTCAAGATGGCTGCCCAAACGGCATTTTCAGTGGAGATGTTTCCTGTGGGTGTGCCTCTGATGGAGGGTAGTCCAAATATCAGTGACATGCCAAAGGACACTCTCCCTGCCCCACAGCTTGTGATGCTGGCCAACGTGGCAGCAGTGACTGCGGTTGGGGAGACAGGCGGCTGTGATGGTAGCACAGCTGATGAAAAGGAGATGATGGAGCTGAAGACGGTGTCCAGCAGCTACTCAGACAGTGAAGATGAGGGTGTCATCAGGTCAGTATCATCAAACAGTCATCCACCTGTGACATCGAAAGAGCTTTCTGCATCGAGGACTTAAGTTTCAGGGTGTGGTCTCATAAAATGACCAAAAGTGCTGAGCTAGTTTTTGAAGTATTGGGGTCTATGTCTAGACTACTTTTTTTTTTCTCACAACAATGGCCTAGAGATTCTTTAGTTTCAAACACTCCACTTTCCAACTACACAACTAGCACCTCTGAATCACTAAGTTTTCCGATATGTGTGTAACCACATCACTTCATTTGTATGCATTAACAGCATCTGTGTGTGCTTTCAGATACAGTTATGACAACCAGAACAATGTGGAGGTCTGCATTGTAGAGTATCCTGAGTCACCAGGTCCCACCAACACTGTGGCTGGTAATGGTCAAAATGTGGCGAATGCAGACGACAACAATATTGACAAAGCTGAGGATCTATCTCACCGCCCTCAGTCTAACCCCTCCACTAAATTACCTCAGCATGAGGATGTGCAGAGCAAGGAAAGTGCCCCTGTGGCAGTAGAGAGCATCAAGAAGAAGAAACCGTTTCACTGTAAACCATGTCACTTCCAAGCACAAAGTGAAGAAGAGTTCGTAAAACACCTCGGCACCCACAGTGCTAGCAAGTTGATGGTTGTAAACCGTGTGGAGGGGCGGAGCAAAACCAGGAGCAGTGGGGCGCAGACACCTGAGGACCACCCACCATCAGGAGAGGAGACCGGCAGCGGCGCTGAGAGTGGATCAGGGACCACAGCAGGGGACATCAAAGGGCTGATCAGGTGTGAGAGATGTGGCTACAACACCAACAGATATGATCATTACATCGCTCACCTGAAGCATCACAGCAAAGAAGGAGAAGATCACAGGTACCTCAATCACAGTGCAACAGTGTGTAAATATATAAAAGAAAACTTGTGTCAAATCAGTGGAAAGAAATAAATTCATGGCACAGACAGATACTTATAGGTATAATGAAATGTAATTTTGGTTTGATATAGTATTGAACACTTGCAATTAGTAAACCATTGAGTAACACTAAAATTAACCTGTTTTTGCCTCCCCCTGTCTGCAGGGTCTTCAAGTGCACGTTGTGTCCTTACACAACAGTGAGTCAATATCACTGGAGGAAACACCTGAGGAATCATTTCCCCAGTAAACTCCACACCTGCTCTCAGTGTTCCTACTTCTCTGACAGAAAGAGCAACTACATCCAGCACATCCGCACACACACAGGTGGGTCCACAAACACCACGCATATCTACCTGTTTACCCGTCTCTAAATAGTTGTATTGTTAACCTGACTTTTCCACCGTGCTGCTGTTCAGGTGTGCGTCCCTTCCAGTGTTTATATTGTGACTATTCCAGTGCACAGAAGACACATTTGACCCGCCATATGAGGACACACTCGGGTGAGTTGATAATAGGCTGTCAATGAGCTGAATATCTATGTTGACATTTTGTCCTAATATAAAGCCAACATCATGTTTGATACCAACACTGACATCCACAGTAAGCGTAGTTGCTAATTTCACATGAATAACCCAGATAGACTGTTTTATTTTAAAAAATACTACAGTGCATATAGGACTTGTTACGACAACTTACTGTTGAATCTTGTGTCTGCTTTTCTTTCAATGGAGCAGAGGACTAACATGGTAATGTGTGTTAACCCAGACCCACACAGTGTGTTGTTGTTGCTTTGTGCTACTGCTGCTGTGTTTCCCGCATGGTCAGACTCCAGATGAGTGTTAAAGCTGCTGTACATCATTTATTCAGTTATCCAACAGAGCCAAAATATTGCCAAACACCATATAGTTGTGTGACACTCGTCATACATTTAATGAAAACCTCCTTAAAATGGGTCAAAATTAAAGCACTTACAGCAGCAGCTTTAACAATTGGTAATATCAATGTGTGATATTCCTATGTTCACACCATGCTGATCCATGACTTTTGTGATTCAGTTGTAGCTGTTTGCATGAACCTCTGACGTGTCGAATGGTTCAAAACAACCAGGTCCTAACATCAGACTTTTTATTCTGCAGGTGAGCGTCCCTTTAAATGTGAGAGCTGTAACTACTTGGCGGCCAATCAGCATGAGGTGACCCGCCATGCTCGGCAAGTCCACAACGGGCCGAAACCGCTGTCGTGCCCCTACTGTGACTACAAGACGGCAGATCGCAGCAACTTCAAAAAGCACGTAGAACTCCACCTCAACCCCCGCCAGTTCCTCTGCCCCCTCTGCAAATATGCCGCTTCCAAGAAGTGCAACCTGAAGTATCACATTAAGTCCAGGCACGCTGGATGTGACGTCTCTGTGGATGTCTCCAACGTCAAGTTGCGTGTTAAAAAAACAGAGCCTGGAGGTTTAGAGGAAAACGCCAATACCAAAACAAACAAACACGACAGTTCGTCCTGTGTGGAGGAGGACTTTGATGATGACGATGTAGAGGAGGAGGATGAAGAGGAGGAGATGGTCTCAGAGTCAATTCCTATCAATCTTTCAATTAGAAAGAGCAGTAGGTCAAGTGTCAGCCAACCAAGCGAAATGCCAGAAAAGTCCAGTAAGAAAGCCAAGGTGTGTCCAGAGAAAGATAAAGCCCCCAAACCCAAAGATAAAGTAGAACCAGAGAAGAAAGTCTCAACAAGACAGAAGAAGACAGAGAATCGTGGCGAATGTGTTGCTGTAGCAACTGGAACCCAGGCAGAAACTGCAACTGCCATCAGGAGGAGATTTAAGAAATCTTTAGTTGTCCATGAGCAAGAGGCTGTAGCCCTGGATGTGCAAGACCAACCAGAGACCAAGACAGAGAAACCAGACCAGGCAAGAGCCAAGGATGAAAGGACCTCCAGGCAGAAGAAAGAAGAGCAGAAGGCAAAGCCTCAGAAGGACAAAGAACAAAAGAATGACAACAGCGGGAAAGAGAACAAAAGTGTAAACAAGAGTAGAAGGTCTGGATCAAAGAAATCTGAGACAATTCCTGACACTGTAGAAGAAACTCAGCAGAAACCAGAAGCTCAGGAGAAAGTTCAGAAGGAAAAGACTGTGAAAGACAGAGCAGGAAAAAGAAAAATATCAGAGGTTCTGGATTTGTCCAGCAAGAGTTCACCTGAGGCTGTGGTCAAGCCCAAACGACTGAAAACTGCCACCACCACAAAGAAGGTTGTACCAGAACCTGCTTCAGGAGCGAGTACTACAGTCAAAACCTTCAACCCGATGCAAAAAGCCACTGAGACGGTGGTAACATGTCTGGAGAAGAAAGAAAAACCTGACAACAAACAGACATGTCTTCAACACAAAGACATCGTCTGCAGCAGAACATCGCAGGTTCCAGAAGCTTCAACTCACAAGGATGATCAGCTAGACACTGAGATGTGTGAGCATCCACCTACACCCACACAAAGCCCTCAAGTGTCTGAAAATCTCTCAGAAAAGATGGAGACTCCACCCACCTGTTCATCCTCAGGTGAGGACACGCCTACTCCAACTAAAGACTGTACCGCTCCAACGTTCCTCAAACCCACTTCACCCCCGCCTCTGCTGATTCCGAGCCAGCGAAACAAACCTGCAGACCCAGAGGATGATGAGGGAATACACAGCAGCCATGAGGGAGGAAGTGACATCAGTGACAGCGCCTCTGAGGGCAGCGATGACTCAGGCCTCAATGGGGCCAGATCAGGTAAGATGGCCAACGACCCTGAGACCCCCACAGAGGAGATCCCAACACCAACGGAGCTGAAGGGTCACCTGTGCATCTTCTGCGATCGCACTTTTCCAATGGAGGTGGCATATCGCCGCCACCTGAACCGTCACCTGGTTAACGTTTACTACATTAACAACAGTGCCAACGCCCAAAAGTGAGAGAGATCTAAAACGTCAGCAAGAACCTTTTGTGTTTCTTTTTTTTATTATTATTATTTGTTATTTCTGTTGCTTTGTGACCTCTAGTTTCAAATGACTCCCTTTTTATCCTACACTTCACCAGTTTAGTATCAGTGTCAAAGGCTAGGTGCTTGTTTCAGTTGTTTGTATTATGAATCAAATTACACACTGATGTAGAATTCCTTTCTTAAGGTAAAATAGGATCATCACACTGTTCATTGTAGATAATAGGTTTATAAACTCTTGAGTGGTGACATTGACAGGCATTAAAAACATGATATCAAATGTTTACCTAAAATATTCATTGTCTTGTGGCGCCCCCTGTTGTTTGGTCTTTTGATTTGTTTTTGTACATAGTGATATATATATACATGTCCCGTTTTGACATTTTGTTGTTAATTCTTCTGTCATTGTGGCACTACATAGGTTAGAACTACAGCTACAGTGAAGTCAATGTGCCCTTTCTTTTTCTTTATAAAGCGTCAGTGCCTTTGACAATCAAGTCAACCATGTTGGTGGGGCATTTTTTAAGTTCTACCTGCTGTGTTATGATTCAAAATTTTAGCTCTGTAGCTCTGTAAAAACTGTATTATTGTGCAATAGTGGATGCCAAAGTGATGTCTTTGAGAAGAGAAGAACATTGGAAAAACATCAGATTTACTGCCAGTGATGAGAAAGTGATGCTTTTGTGTGACTGTTGTTTCAAGCAGCTGATCTATTCATTGATCAGTCATCAACTGATGAAATGATTGGTTTCCTGCCTCGTGCCTACTACTCTCTACTGTCAAAGAATAACAAAATCCTTTTCTTTTCCATGACAAACTGTGTGTTTATCACTTTCTAGTAAAAAAAAAGTAAAATCTTATCAGACTTTAGAAAATTAAGGTTCAGAATTCTTCAAACAATTCTTCAATGTTGTACTGAACTAACGTTTTGTAAACAGACTTGTTTTTCTGGTGTTTGGTTTTCAAACTGTATTAGTCAAAAATAATTTTCACAAATACACAATATTTCAAAATTCCAAAGTTTCCTCTGTGATTTCTTTTTCATTTTATATAAAACCCAATGACATATGATCAGTTTACTATAAGTCTATTGAATAAGGATACAGTTAAATCTTCAAGCGTTCAGTATTTACAGACAAACATCATGGTTAAAAACTAATGAAACTACAGCTTTATAACACTGTTCTACTCAAACAATCATCCACTTTTTACGACCGACGGACAATCCTGAGGACCATCAACACCGGTTGCCCTACAAAGTGCTGAAGTCTGCAGCTGTGATTCCAATACCAGTCAACCACTGTGTTTTATTTTGAAGATGAGTTCAGTCCACTCCAACAACAAGGCTTTACCTTTTTTTGACCTTCATACCCTCATTCACTAGGGGTCGTGGCTTCACTGATTTGTAGGAAACGGATTTGTGGATACGTTTTCCTTTAACAGTCACAATGTGAGGAAGCAGCGGTGGCGTTCTCACGCTGTAACGCACCCCAGCTGGACCATGAACCCTGAGTGTGACCTCGTCGTCTTCAACCGCCGTTACAGCAACCCAACCTGCAGACAGACGGACAGAGGATGGGGCCGTGAATCGGCTGAGAAGGAACAGACTCTTTTTTTCCAAAAACAGTTGTGGCATTTACCTGCAGATGTCAGTGTGATGTCAGAAGCTGCTTCCAGGTGGCCACGCCCCTTTAACTTGATTTCCTGAGAAACCAACTCTGGAAACCGTTTCATTCGTTCTGTACCCCCCATTGGGACCTGAACACAAGGTTTAAGTAAAAATATTTATCAGTGGCAGAGACAGCCTCTAGGTGAAAGAATAAAACTCAAACACAGATGTCAACACAAAAAGAAGGGGAATAACAGGATAGACTGTAAGTGTTAACATTCTGTGCAAGTTTAAAAAATTGACATTTTTGCAGACTGTTCCTACAGACAACAGTAGTAACTCTCTAAAGACTATATTCCATCTTAAACAATGGTCATTTGACTCACCCCAAGCAGCACATGTCCAGCATGTTTTTCATAAACACTATCAGCTTTTTCCAGCCTGGTGATGTGAACTGGGACAGGATTTGCAGCCACAACTGAAAACCAGCAAGACTTTTGACCCTGCAGCAAAGACAACAATTCATAAAGCAGTCAACAAACAACCTACACTCAAGAAAAAAAAAATCAAACAATATATAATTTATTAATTTAATAATAATGGTGTAAAATAAAGACTCGGCAATGTGTAAATTAACCTGCAAGAAGTCAATCCTGGCTATGCCTCCTACAAACAGCGTCATGCCAGGCTTTAGCACAAACGTGCGTGGAGTGATGGCATATGTAGGAACCACCATCTTCACTTCCTGTTCAGTTAGCAAGTCTAGGACCTGGACAAACGACAGAGACAGAGAGAGGAGTATTATTGTAGCCCCGCCCACTGCTTTTATGACTCTGATCAGTGATGCAGTGGAGTCAGGCTTCCTCACATCATTCTCCTTCATGATGCCCGGAGTGTCGTGCAGCCAGTGAGCCTCCTTTAGCTCATTGTGAGTGAAGGCATCCGTTTTCTTACTGACTTCTACGAAATAATAGGATTATAATATATATATATATATATATATATATATATATAAGAGAGTATATATAATAAGAGTCAGATAAGGGGTATTAGAGTCAGCCTATTGCAAAGGCTCTCCCAGTGACCTCACCTGTCTCTGCATGTTGGACATCATCACCAAAGGCCAGACTATCTGGATCAAACTCAATTTCATCCAATCTGGGTTTAGCACCAAACGTTCTGCCAACATTACCTGAGTGGATTGGCAACAGAGAAAGATTAAATTATATTTCTGCCGCAAGAAGATTTTGGTACATCTTTTACACAGAAGAATCTTTGGCTTGGCCACTACATTGTAGCTGACGCTCAAAGGGAAAACATTTTTGCAATAATTCTGTGATCAATCTGTGTTTAGGGGATTATTGTCTAAGCCCACACTCTTACCAACTAAATATCCCTGCTTCGTTAACTGTGCCAGTCTCCGATGTTCTTCTTGTGACATCTCAGTATCTGATGTATTAAGCCGGTCCAGGCGCCGCAACATTCTGTATGGTGTGGGGTTCATGATAGGAAACTTCAACAGGTTCAGTGTGGTACCTGTACGCATCGAAGCCAGAAAGAAAACACAGAATCACAGGATTAGTGGCATAATACCAGAGCAATCACCATTGTCCTGTAACACATAACAGTTAGAATGAAAGTACATCAGTTATTAATAATAACAACTACATAAATAATAATATTATTATCAGACAGGTGGGAATGGTCTTACCAGGCCACGGAGAAATGGTCGCCTTCTGGATGATATTTCTGGCCTTAGATTTGCAAAAGTCTGACTCAAGCAATGTGTTGAAGAGTGTGGACTTCCCAGCATTAGCTATTCCCACCAAAAAGACATCGCCTTTGTACTTCCAGGAGCGCTGCAGGCTTGAAATCAGTGCCTCCACACCATAGCCTGTCTTGGCACTAATCAAGTGCACGTCAGTGATCTGGTCCCCAAACCCTGCCTCCTGGCAGTAAAGGACAAGCTGACGCTTTATCCGCTTCAGGTAATCAGATGAATCGGCAGGCAGCAGGTCCACCTTGTTACCGAGTACGACCACATGTTTGTTGGTGCCAACCAACTGTGGCAGGTCAGGGATGATGGTGTGCGGTAGGTCCAGCAGATCCACAATAAGCAGCACAAGCGCCCGCAGAGGTTGTAGCCGCTTGACTACCTTGCGATACTCGTCTCTGGACACCTGCAGCTCCAGCGCCTTCTTGTGGTGAGTGAGTAGGTGGCAGCGTTGACAGGTTGCCCCTTCTAGACCCCCGTCCTTTAGCAATACCTTGTATTTCTCATTGGGTATGTACCCTGGAGTGTACACAGCAGTGCAGTGCAGTATGGCGCCACAGCCGGAACAGGAAGTATTGCTCAGGGGCTCGTTCACATCAGGTGTTCCAAAGATTGTGTGCTCACCCTTAATCTTTGCCTTCTTCTTTTTGGTTTTTGCACTCACAAGGTTGTCTTCAAGGGGAAACTCAACATCCTGGAACTGAATGAGAGCATCAGACTCTGCCTCCTGCTGGTCCTCATTCTTTAGACTTTTTAGCTGACTCTCCAAGGATCTCAAGTGTTTGTGATGATGCGGGCGAGAAGACAGGCCAGGTAACGAGGTTTGGGATGATGCAGAGGAAGGGGTGGATGACATCAGCTGCATCCGTTGAGCTGCATCACTCTCTTCATCAACAGAGTCAGCATCTGGATAAAGAATCATGACAAAGATCATGACATCCATCATATGGATTATATATTCGCTGAGATTAGGGTTATAGTTGTGTGTTTATTCAAAGGTAGTTTCCGTCAATGTTTTCTATTGCGACTCTTCTATTGGCTCACAATAACCCAAAGTCTAAACAATATTAGCAGTTGTTACTCTTACCAATTAGGTCCACGAACACGAACTCTTCCTCCATGCTCGGGTCTGCGGTGTAGTTGCCGATGCTCCTGCGATCTCTGCTGCTGAACTGACGAGTCAGACTAGGACCAAAGGCCGGTTCTGAGCCCGTAATAACCCGACAATTAGCGGCGCAGAGCCCCCGAGGTACAGAGCCCCAGATAAGACATGCCCGAGAGACGTGGAGCAAACGGGATACTAGAGCCATGATGGGACTACACACAACTCACCTTGGAGACAAAACACATGCGCTTGCTGCAGTCGGTACCATCTTACTTCCTGAAAGGAAGTGACGTCAAATGTACGTTTTTGTCGCTCCAAAGTAATAACAATAGTAAAAGTTTTCGTTTCCGAAACAAATTTTTAAAAGACGAGCGTGATTGCTATAACTGGCGTGATTAAATGGAGATGATTTTATGTTTGGTTTAAGAGGTCATTTTGAAGATTAAACCCACAAACAAAATTAAACAACACTTGTGGGTCTGTGTGTGTTTGTGAGCGGAAGTGCGAAAGAGAGCGAGAGAGAGAGAGAGAGAGAGAGAGAGAGAGTGAGTGAGTGAGTGTGTGTGTGTGTGAGAGAGACAGTTAGACAGTAAGGAATACAACTCCGCTGCATATCTGTCTTTTTTCTTCTAACAGTTCGGTTCAGATTTAAGATGAATAGAATCAGAAGCTTTTTACTAAAATCAGCTGCTGTTAATGCTACAGCTGCTGCACAGGTGAGTGAAGACCCAATAGACACGCACACATACACACACACACCTTCGTTGTTATACACACTTGTTGTAGAGATGGCGACTACTATTAAAAACTTGCGTATGTGTCTAACCGTAAACACGCAACTCCTATCATTTAAAATAAAATGGACAACTTTATCCCAAAGATACATGCAATCAGAATGGATGCCAGAATTGCTCAAAACTTTGCAGCAACTACAAGTAAGCGCACGAACCTGCACACCCAACATTTGGATACCAGTGTACACAAACAGCTTTTTTGTATGACACACAGATAATTACCCTGTATGTATTCTTACACATTTTTTGTTATGTTACATTATAACATATATACACTGTATATACAATATATATATATATATATATATATTTATATATATATATATGTGTGTATATATATATATATATATATACACATATATATGTGTGTGTGTGTGTGTGTAACACTGCTTAATAAAATGCTCTGCATGGCAAAATACACGAGTTACGGAAGTTCGTGTGAACTATTTCGACAAAGACTAAAAACATTTTGGGGCAGCACACTAAGACACAGTGACACCAACAACATGCGTTTCTACTACATGTTTCTCTGACCGAGACTGTTGAAAACTGTGAAAAACATCAGTGGAACACGGTGTAACTTTTGGTGTCACTCTTCTAGATGAGGACAATTCGGTTGTCCTTGCCCTCTGGACTGACATCTGTGAACAGGTTAAAACGTAGTAGTTGAACATTAACTGGAAGGAACAACAGCACGAACACAGGATTCCTATGGAGAAGAGGAACCTGAACGCACCACACCATGAAATACTTAGTTCATGGCCATGGTCACGTAACTTTGTTATGATATATCTTGTTCAACAGGGGGCAGCAGCGGACCGATCATCCCCGTGAATATTAATGGAAGCAACAACGTGAATAGAATGTAACAGAATAAAATAATGGAATATTTTGTTGTGAATGTTTATGTCAATATGAGTCTTTTAACGTTTGTTCTGATGGTCATTTCCGATGTAGCAGGCTCTGGTTTTGTCTTCTTAGTTTGTCTCAAGTCTTGTTTGGTCTAATGTATCTCTGTGTTTGTGTTAGGAGTGTGACCTGTTCTGTGATTTCTCCTTCTGCAGCCTCGTGTGTATATTTCCTCTGGCCATCAACAGCAACACCAAACTTTCTATGAGCTCCGCACCTATTGCCTGCACCCTCACCAGACCGCTTCCTTCCTTAAATTGACCAATGAGAAAATCCACCTGCGCACCGCACACTCACAGCTGATTGGCTACTGGAGTGTTGAGTATGGCGGCCTTAACCAGGTCTTTCATATATGGAAGTACGGTGAGAGTACAGCTACAGCTACTGCTGTTTCTTCATCTGTATTCGTTTACAAGTCTTTGACTTGTGAAATCTGACCTCAGATAGTTATGCTCAGAGGGCAGCTGTGCGAGCAGCATTGGCACAGGATGCCACATGGAACTCAGAGTACCTCTCCAAGGCTTCACAGATGATGATGAACCAGGACAATGAGGTCACCTACCTGGTTCCATGGAGCAATTTAAAGAATGCCCCACAGGAGGGAGGTAAGTCATGCCCCGTTATCACACAAACACACACTCACATTCAGAGTAAATGTGCCCCTGATTTTCACCTGTTTCAGGTGTCTATGAGCTGGTGACCTATCAGATGCATCCCGGCGGTCCAGCAGTTTGGGGTAAAGCCTTCCAGGCGGCCCTGACCGCTCGTGATGCACCAGGGTACGGGAATCTACTGGGCGCCTTTCACAGCGAAGTTGGCCTCCTTAACAGAGGTACACTTGAAAACATTGACATTAATCAAAGAGCAAAAAGACAAATATTTACCTAAGAAAAGAGACGACTGTCTTTGCCATTTGTGTGTGTTCGTAGTTCACGCCCTCTGGTGGTATGCAAGCGCTGACCAGCGTGCTGAGCTTCGTCACAAATCTCACACTGACGCCCGAATCGTTGCTGCAGGTGAGACACTGACATTTGTTTACTGTTTATTATGAAAAAAAAACTAATAATAAACAGTAAACAATTTTTAAAAAAAATTGTACCATTTTGTATTATAATGTCTGTGTATTAAGGGCAAGGGTTTTTAAGGACTTTTAAGTAACTATTGTGAAAACATGGCAAGCAACAGGGACCAAAGAAGAAAAGAAATGATGAAGCTTTTTAAAATGCTGAGCTAATAAAAGCTACACCAGCATTGCTCTATGACATACAAACAATTTGGTCAACATGGTTGTTGTCCACTGATTTGCCTGCCTGTCTTTAAAAAACAAAACTTGCAATGTGTGAACAAGTTTCTCAGACCAAAGTCCATGGAGAAAATCAGTAATTTTACATCATACTAAACAGTTGTTTTAGACCATGTTCTATTATTTTTCCATCTATGCTAAAACCTCCATTTATATTTAGTAGATGACTCAATGCAGCAGAAAGATCCAACAGGCTGGTTTTCTGTTTCAACTTTTGTGTGTAACACCATGTTAATTCATATTATATATATTTAATTTCATTCATTACATTTAGTGATCAGCTAAAACTACTGATCAGTAACTGATTGATTTACTGTGTTACCTTTTCTCTCTTTCAGTCAGAGAAGGCGTGGCCCATCTGGAATCCCAGAACAACAAACTACTGTTTGCCTGTCCTTTCTCTCCTATGAAGTGACTGATTCTCTCTTTAAACCACAAAACCAGAGATGGAGCCTAATGACTGTAAAATAAAATAATAATAAATATTACTCCAGTGAATGCATGTATACATGTGTCTATGCTGTCTGTGTCTACCAATAAACAAAATACTCAGATGACACTTTTTTCTACATTCTTATCTTGACTAGTTTAAATAAGTGGTGAAATATGGAATTTTCCAAACGTTTCATCCATCTATTTTCATTCACTTATCCGTTACCGGGTCACAGGGGCAGCAGTCTCCACGACTGCCACCCAGATCAAACTGCACCGTACCAACCCCCCGGATCCTTCCTTCAGGTGGTGAGTCCACTGGAAGGTACCAACCGCCCTAACCAGGATTCAACTTGCCCATGAGGTGAACCCTGGGGTTCCACACCAATGACAGAGACATTGCCTCTGGGTCAAAGTGCCACTCCAAACATTTCATTACCATTTAAAACAAAAATTAAGGCAAATGGTGGATCTACTGAGATCTGAAACTCCCTTACGTCAGCATATATACAGTTCAAATGGGTAATGCTTTAAAAAGTCCTATTTGTAATCATTACAATGTGAAATATAAAGTGAGAAATTCTCCTTACTAACAATGTCATTTGCTTCCTGTCTAATATGCTTTGAATTATAAAATAGATATTCTTAGCATACTTTGCTCATAACATCTTGTCATGGCCCCTGGACAAGTCATCTGAAGGATCAGATTCCTATAAAACACTAAGATGAGCCTAGGGATAGTATGACGAGACTTTTTATATCAAATTTACATCATCTCAAAATTTGAAATGTGAAATAAGATACCGTTGCAAAACAAAGGTGTGTGTTTTTTTCTTTTCCACACCGGATGCTGCTTAGTACAAAGGTACAGACACATTTCCCCAGACGGGATGATGTTGAGCAATCAACACAGGTCTATCCAATCTCTTGTCCCATCAGTTGGTTGTTCTAAGAGGAATCTCTGCAACATTATCTGAAAACACTCACGGCAGGAGTACCTGATAAGTAATAGAATGTCTTTGCAGTTCTGTGTGTCATGACAAGAGGTGAAAAAACAGTAGTACAAAAAAAGGAAAAAGAAAACAACAATTATTTGTTAAACTTCCCCTTATTCCCCTAGTGACCGTAACCTCTGTCTAACCAAATATGTATTTTTGTGGTTTAGCTCTGACATGCAAGGAAAACAGCAAATATGCTGAATGTGCTGCTATGTTGACTGTGT